TGGTACTTGAAACAGTAACTAACCCAAAATGAAGCATTATAAACCTGGGAAAATTCGGAGTTAATATTACACATAAGAGACATTCCAAAAAGTTAAAGAAAGAAATTGACATTTATGACACACAAACCATCTTAATGTTGCCCACTGGTGATGCCACAAAGGGGAAAAATGAAATATCTTTACATGTTTTTAAGCTCATCTGGGGTAGGGATGTGAAGGACTGGTTGACTAGTCACTCTATCAGATAGAGGCAGCAAGTTGGGGTAGGAGTGCAAGAAGAGGCAGGTACTTCAAAGTGGCAGTGCTGCAGGGAGCCCGGGATCAGCTGGGGACTCCCCAACTAACCCTGGGCTCTGCCTGACACTGCTGCTTTGAAATGCCTGGGGATTGGAACCCAAGGGCTGTTGCTACACTTAAAAGGCAGAGGCACCCTATCGACTAATTGAACAGTTGATGCAAAAATGCATCAACTATTAGATTAGTCAGTTACCCAAAATTTAATATCCTTAATCTGGGTTCACAAATGCTAAAACTTTATATGGTGTCACAATATGGCATAGTTAAGGTTGCTTGGCTGCCTTGATGTATGAGGCGATGAAATTTTGGATAAACTGATGCTCTTGGGAGATTTTATGAAGACGCTCTAGAGATTCACGAAGGTTATTATGTCCCATTATATTAAGACATGCTTGACTGAATGGAAAATAGAAATCCCTTCCTGCAATTTTTCTCCCTTCTCCTTGTGATACCCTCTTAGGGTATGTCTACACTACCCTCCTAGTTCGAACTAGGAGGGTAATGTAGGCATACCGCACTTGCAAATGAAGCCCGGGATTTGAATTTCCCGGGCTTCATTTGCATAAGCGGGGCTCCGCCATTTTTAAATCCCCGCTCGTTCGAACCCTGTGCCATGCGGCTACACGCGGCACGAACTAGGTAGTTCGAACTAGGCTTCCTAGTTCGTGCCGCGTGTAGCCGTGCGGCACAGGGTTCGAACGAGCGGGGATTTAAAAATGGCGCGAACTACCTAGTTCGTGCCGCGTGTAGCCGCGCGGCACGGGGTTCGAACGAGCAGGGATTTAAAATTGGCGGCGCCCAGCTTATGCAAATGAAGCCCGGGAAATTCAAATCCCGGGCTTCATTTGCAAGTGCGGTATGCCTACATTACCCCGCTAGTTCGAACTAGGAGGGTAGTGTAGACATACCCTTAGATACTTGAAAACTGCTATCATGTCCCCTCAGTCTTCTCTTTTCTAAACTAAACAAGCATAATTCTTTGTCTTCCTTCATAGGTCAAGTTTTCTAGACCGTTAATCATTTTTGTTGCTCTTCTCTGGACCGTCTCCAATTTTTCCACAATTTTTCCACAGTTTTTAAATGTGGTGTCCAGAACTGGACACAATACTCCAATTGATGCCTAATCAGCACAGAGTAGAGCGGAAGAATGACTTCTCATGTCTTCCTCACAACACTCTTGTTAATGCATCCAGAATCATATTTGCTTTTTTTGCAACAGTGTCACACTGCTGAGTCAAATTTAGGTGTGGTCCACTATGACTCCTAGATCCCTTTCTGCAGTACTCCTTCCTAAACAGTTACTTCCCATTCTGTATGTGTGAAACTGATTGTTTCTTTCTAAGTGGCGTACAGGTAAGACCTCTCTGGTCCGGCACGTTCAGGACCTGAGCTGTCCCGGACCAGGTAGTTTGCCGAACCAGAGGAGGTCAGTGCTCCCCTGCTGGCTGCCCCCCTCCCAAGCTCCTCTCCCTGAGGCTCTCTGTGCTAACACTGGCCCTGTTAAAGCTGGTTCAACACAGTTCCCCACCTTGCTACCCGGCCACTGCCCCAGGGTCTCCCGGGGTCTTTGGCGGGAACTACTTGGCCACTGTTGGTCCTGTTGCTGCAGGGCATTTTCCAAGGTTCCCGGGTGGGACCACCTAGCTGCTGGGAGCTCTGCTGCCACAGGGGGTTCCCCAGC